TTTTTTGTATTTTTTATATATTTGCACACGTTATAAAGTAAGGCTTCTTTCGAAAAAATATTAACTATTTTGGACTAGTTTTTGTTTAGTGCCCTATCGAAGCCTGCAGAACTGCACTTTCGGCATATTTTACTAGCGCACTGGAAAAGAAGGAAATTACTTAGTGTATGACCCAGTAGTAGACTTTCTTCTCTTTAAAAAGCATTTTGTATACTCTGCAAACTAAATTCATTTACAACATGACAATAATAAAACTAAACTCACGTTATTGATACTACTAATATATAACTAGACTTCAAATATTAACGTGCTGCTGGTAACTCAACCGCTGACTGCTTCAACGAATAAATGAATGAATTCTCGCGAGTAATTTGTTGTCATCACTTAAGCAGGACATTGTCAGCGCGCATTACCAGTAATAAAGGCAAACACTAAAGCAGTCCGAAAAGCGGAACTGCTAGCAAAATATATTACTGCACACAATAGGAACTGTGTCCTGTAGGAAAATGTAGGACAGAATGAATTGAAGTGGTAATGTTTATAATAATATTCCTAAATGTAGACAAATCTTTATTTTTTCAAGTTAATTATTAATATATTACATTTTTTGCGGTAAAATATGGATTTTTAGTATTTTTTACTAATATGGATTTGGCGTGTAACATGGATGAAATATTAATCAGCTCCTAAATGTATGCAACATTTTATTTCTTTATGTCATTCGTATAAATATTTTAAATGTTTTAGTAAAATACGGATTTTTAGTATTTTTTACGAATTTGGATTGGGTGTGTGTCTTGGCTAAATATTTTGCAATGCTCCTAAAGATAGGCAACCCATTTTTTTTCTTTATTTTTTTTTATTCTTTATTAAGTAATATGACCAATATGTTTTGTTCAAAAAAATGTAAGAGTGTGATATTTTGAGCGTAGTAAAGTTAAAAATATATATGTATAGCTAGTTACTGAAAAAAAATTACTTTTTATTTTTATTTTTTTTCGATGCGAATTTCTGTGCAGGTTATACTTATTAGCTGCCCATGCATCTAACGAACTGTGTATCTCATCTCCTCATGCTTCGTTGTAGCTTTTGTTCGTTTGCAGTGTGCAAATGCGCGCCAGGCAACTCTAAATTATTACAACTAATGATGACTACACATTTCCACATTTTCGCAACACCGCGCCTCCGCCAGCCGCCAGTCGCCCGATCGGCACACTAAGTAGTTAGAATGTGGAATTGCTTCCAACAGACAAGCACAAATGCCGCCACAAATATCAGTCAGCCGCTGGGAGATTTGATGTGAGTACCAGGCTTCGCTATTTTTCCTGCGACTGCACGGCATGGAAGCTGTGCGCCCCCCGCCCGCCAGCACTCCATTTATGATACGTTGACAGTTTCTTATTATGTCGCGTCTCGAGTTGGAAATGAGCGCGCGAAAATGGGCAGCAACACAAATGAAATTGCACAGCAGCAACAACAATAAAGCAACAAAAGTAGCAACAACGGCATTAGCGCGCACCGCCTCCCCCCACTAGAGTTGCCGGCTGCTAACCAACAGTGGCGCAGCACAGTGCGCTCAAAATGTCAGTTGTCATTGTGGAAAATGGCTTGCAAAAAATTTATTCTCGTCGCTGTTGGTGAAAGTGTGGCTACGCGGCGAGGCGTAGGTGGGTGACGCATGGTGGTGGGAGATTATTTGCTGTTACAACGAGTAGAGCTTTTTAGTTGTAACAACATTCAGCTTATTGTCATTAACTGGCATTTGCGCGCGCATGTGATGTGGTGTGTACCAGTGTGTTGCACAATGACGAAAACAACAACAACGCGGCCAAAAGTTGATGTGCACAAATGAAAAATGACAAAAACGACTTCAATTATGAAGCGTAGAGCAGGAAAATATGCAAACATGTTTCGCTCTCCAAAAACCCCCACCCAAAAAATTTGTGGCATGCGGTACATGAACAGCTTTAAAATACATAACTGTAAAGTTGCGACGGTATGAGACAACATTTTCGAAATAATTTTCAGCGCGGCTGGCCAAAGTTGCTGACTCGCTTACACATTTACTAAAATAAAAAGTATAAGAAAAAAAACAACAAAACAAAAAACTTTTTGTTGGTAATTTTTTACGCATACTGCGGTATTTGCCATGATTTGCTGCTTAACGGTATTTTGGTGTGATAATAACAAACTGTGAAAAGTTTTAATGAATATTTAGCAAGAAAAAATTGTGTATTTTTATGACGTGGCGTTCTACAACGGATGACATTAGAGCACTTTAGTTAAAATTAGAAATTCTGGGAAGTTCATGATCAAATATATAATATATTTATTAAATAATCATACTTGATACGAAATTCAAATTGGGGTAAAACTAGTTTTATTTTGAAGGTTAGCTTTAAATTCTTTCAAATTTTTAGCTATTATCTAAATGTCTATAAATGAGAGCTTGAAGAAAGAGGGGATATAATTAGGCAGAGGTAAAGATGTGAAGCTTCAGAGACAGATCTATTTCTTAGCAAAGTGAAAATAGTAAAGGGTAATCAATTTCGAGGTTTCCTACTTGTTTAAAGAAAAAAACACAGACATTTCAAATTTAATGGGGAATGTTCATTTTTCATTTAAATAAAAAAAAAAAAAAAACTCTCCTTCATGCCAGGCGCTGTAGTTAACTCTAAGGGGTCGCTATTTTTTTTTAGATGCCCATACATTTAAAATAGGAATTTTCGTTTTTTTATTCAAACTAAAATCTCACCAACTAATTTTAGTTTCTCAAAAATAACCGCCACATATACAGAAAGTTCACTACTCTAAAAATGTCTGCTACAAATGTGACATGAATGAAATATTGGCCACACATGCTAATATTATAGTTCAACAATGAATGACAATAGGTCTCTGTCTTATTGAAAGACACGCAGTAGTCTTCCAGTAGAAGGGATACTATAAGGATACTGAAATGATGTAAAAGAAGAAGGGACTGTACAAAATCTTCTATGAAAATGCAAGACTTTATATAGAAAAATAATCACTATCGTCTGCTTATCGAAGGGATCAACTGTAACAAGACCACAGGGCAGTTCAGAGAGAGAATGGTAGTGGGAAGAAAGTGAAGAAAAGGTTAAAAGAAGCAAAACACTGAGTATTACGATGGAAGACCACTTGAATAAAGCATAATAGTTGTATCTTTCAAAACTTGTCAAAAATATTATAACCTAAAAACTTTGATTTTTTTCCTTCCTGATTATAATATTTTAATTAAAAAATTGTGGATTTTCCATTTTTAATTAACGAAATCTATAATGAAGAGATCATGTATTTGAAATGTGAGAAATAAATATTTATATAATATATATATAGACATTTTTTTTTTAATTTTGGTGTTTGCGTTTAGGTTGGATCGGAAGGCTGATGTTTTTGATGTGCTTTTTATTCCCCAAAAGTCCCACATATGGATCAACAGCCCTTTATATGCCGCAGAAGCGCTTTGAGCTCATCACTTCAATTGCCGACCAATATTTGCGTCAACTGAATGTGAACATAATTTTGGTAAAATTTTTGCCATTAATAGCGGCCATGCAGTGAATACAAACTATTTTCGAATATAACGCAATAAATAATAGAAAGTATGTTGTATAACTAATTTATTAACTGGAAAATTGTGTGAGCGTACACTTTTAATTAAAATTCTCAATGTGTTAAAATCAATTATGTTGATGTTAAGCGAAGTAGAAGAAAGCTCAGCATTTTAATTTATTAAGAAGAGTTTAAGTTGACGAAAAAAAACATAAAATTAGATATGCGAAGATATAAAAATGTGTGATATACTTCTATATTTACAAACTTGCATGTATTTGGAAAATAAAATAGAGTTTGGGCAAACATTTCTTTTATTTAAAATTGGTCTATGTATAGTCTAGTGATTGGCGCTAGACGGGATATACTAATGGTATAATGGAATTAAGTACTGAAGAGGTTTAAGACCTTTGTATTATAAAAAAATAAGAAAAGCCAAGTTTTTCTGAATTAAGATAATATATTTGCCAACGCGTTGATAGTAAATCCGAAACAAAGATGCGTATTAGAAAAACTAGTTAAGATTTTTAGGTACATACAAATTTATTTACATTGTTTTTATATTAATTTTACCATGCTTTTGACAGGTTTTCATAAAATTATGCAACATTTATTCAAGACTAGTATGCACCTACGCCTAAAAGAAGACTAAAAAATCTTAAAGCATAGTAAATGTATATAACTAACTACCATATAACTACATTGTACACCCGGAAATGGTAATTAAATTTCCCGGCTAAATGATATTTAAAAAAAAAAAAGATGTATTTAGCTAAGTCGGAAAAGAGAAGGATATGGTACTTCAAAATCGTCAGTCAAGTGTTGGAGGGAGCTCGACAGCGCGAGTTTCTTCGAATGATTTTGGTGAAAATTTGGGCTTGAAGCGCGTTCTTGCTCGAAAAAAGTGCGATTGTGATCGAATTTAAAGCCAAAAACGCAATGAATATCATCGCTCAATCACCGTATTAATCAGATTAGGCTTTGTGTGAATTTTTCTTGTTCCCAAACTGAAATCGTCTCTCCGTTTTCAGTCGATTGTATAGATAAAAGACTGGAAAAAGTCGTTGGCATTGCTTTTGAGGGCTACAAAATAAATATTGATGAATAATAAGATAAAATATTTTGTGTCTTATTTACAATTTTCGGGTACTTTTTCGGCACAATATGTATATTAAAAGGACCGTATTAAAAAGAAGATATTTTAAAATAGAAGCTTATTGATATATGAATAAAAATTTGGTTTTCAATATTCGCTAGCATACTTTTAAGGTCGTAATATACTACATTTATAGAGCTAAAGTTTGTTTCATATTACAGCTGCAAGGAGCATATGACCACATACTATTCTTGTTAAAATTTAGGTTCATTTAAATTAAAATAATTTTATAAATAAAAATGAATTCCATTTTAATATTTGAACTCACCTCTCGCAAATATATTAAAGTATGCGGCGTAATCCAAAGAGAGCAAGTCTGTAAAGAAGAAGCAAATTATTAAATACGTATTTTGTGCTGGTAAAAGCTTAATTGGCAGCAAACTAAATGAAAATTCATTCAATTAAAATACGCTTTCTTGCTCAAAACTACAAAATTTTATTTTTCATTGAATTTTGTCAACAACTATAGCATATATTTAGGCTGTCTTGAAATATGTTTACGTTTGCGGGGATAATTGTTATTCAGCAATAAAAAAAATATATTAGAAACTGTGTTTTAGGCCACTCTTTAAACATTCTAAACGCCGAGCTTTAGGCTTTACTTTAAATCAACAATAGCAGCAACAATGAGGAGCACGAAAATCAACATGTGAATGTAGTCGTACTCATAAGCCAGTGCAGTTATGTAATCTGAGTTCCTCCACGTCAATTAAGTTGTAGTGAATTCAATGCTTTAGCTGAACTACCTACCCTCCCGTATTCATTTCCTCGCAGTCGCATGACTTCAGTGCAACAGCGTATGGCCGCCTACGAATTCCAAAATGTCAACTGCAATCTAATGTAAAACTCTCTTCCTAGTCGCTGTCGCTCAAAGCTGCGTCCTGAGCGCCACACCTTCGCTCGCTTGCGGCATTGCTGTCGCGCATGAGTGTGGTTGTAGCTGCAAGTCCAGTTGTAGTAATTCGCCCGCGGCTTACAATGTGCTATGCATTTGATTGAACAATGTTGTAATGACATTTTAGATTCTTATCGCAATGGTTTGGCTGCCCGGCAGTTTGGCGTGCTTCTCCCTTACCTTGTAAGCCGCATGAATGTGTGTGTGTGTGTGTGTGAGTGGCATGCCTTAGTAATAAGTCGGCTTTGTTCGGCCATAATTTCAAAGAGTTTAATGGTGAGGCCAGAGTGTGGTCATTACCTGTAAGCACATGTGTGTGTGCACATGTATGCATGTGTGCTTTCGTGCAATATTGCATAATAACTACATTGTGCGCCTATGGCAGTCACGTGACGTATACGTTACCAAACGTAATTGCCACTTATGCAAGTTTAGCATGTAATTTTTTAACCGTCCAGCAATAAAGTTATTAACAACATGTTTTATGGCGGGATCAAATGAATTGCTTGCGACAGGAATTAAGTTTATGTTTGTGCGTTTTTTCTTTAATACGCTGAAGATTTATTAGCAGAAATGTATACTGCCGTGTATAGTTATGTGTGATTATCATACATTCTCAAGTATAGGCAAAAAACAAAAAACAATAATAAAAATAAAAAAAATTAAAAAAATATATATAAAATAAAAAAAATGCGAGCACTTTAAAAAATATATACTTTTTTCATTTCATTCCATTCAATATACATTTAATATTATTCTTTCTATATATTTTTGTAAATTTTTTCAATTTGCAAGTCGCTAAAAAAAATATGGCAACTCTGTTGAAAAAAAGTATACTCTCTAATTTTTTTTTTAAATCGGTTGTGGGACATAAATATCAAATTTATTTGTTTATTTATTATTTACTATAAGGAAATGTTGTCAATAGACGCTAAATATGAAATAATTTGTGAACAAATATGTGGCAACTCTAAGAAAAATTTAAAAATTTACTAATAAACGCTATCTTTAAAATATTTTTTCAACATTTTTGTACCATCCATTTTTACAATATTACTACACACGCGCCAAAATGTATGCTTCGAATTTCATTAGTTTTTTTTTTAATGAATATACATGTACTATAACTGGGGTCAAGCAAAAGCAAAATTTTCAAACTTTATGTTAGACATTGAAAAACACTCGGGGTTTTTTAATTGTTTATAACTTAAAGTTCGAACATAAATAAAAAATTCGAACCAAAAATTTTAAAATTCGAAAAAAGGCAGTCCCAAAATTCGTGTCAACCGGTGTAATAATTATTTCGCGAAGAAAAATAGTTTTTAAACCTAGCACGTTGTGGTCCACAAAACTGACAGTTTGATGTTTTATATTTTTTTCAGATATTCAGTTTTATGATACGCTTGAGAGTTTACAAAACACTTTTTTGTAGCATATCTTTAGGGGCTATCTTTAAACTTTATTTCAACTCTGAAAGTTTGAAGATAAATATAAAATTTGAAATAAAAAAATTTGAGAATGCTAAAAAATTCAGATCCAAAAATTGTAACGATCGGTGTTTAGGAATTATTTCGAGAAGAAGAAGATTTTCTTATCTTAACAAATTGTGGCTCACAAAAGCATCAATTATACAGTTTAATACACTTAAGTTTTTTAAAGTATTCAGCTTCTTGATAATCCTTAGAGTTTATTAAACACATTTGTGTAGTATACCTTTAGGGGTTCATTTGTAAAATTTATTTTAGCTCTGAAAGTTTCAACATAAATAAAAAATTTGAATTTAAAAACTGTTAAAATACGAAAAATTTCAAAATATTAAAGAAATTCATACCAAAAGTTCATGTCGAACGGTGTAAAAATTATTTCGGGAGAAAAAGATTTTCTAGTTTTAGAAGATTGTGGTCCATAAAAATACTATTAGAAAGTTTGATACCTTAATACTTTCCTGATATTCAGCTTCTTGCTTTGCTTTAGAGTTGATTAACACATTTTTGTAGCATACCTTTAGGGGTTCATCTTCGTATAACTATTATATTCGAACTATTGCAATAAGCAAATTTTTAATTTAAAAAAAAATTGGAATACCTACTTTTTAATACTAGCAGACATGTTGCTTATGTTTCGTGATATAAAGAATTTAAATTAATTTAACATTTTCCTTCAAAACTTTATACATATACATACATATGTAAATATGCATACGCGTATAGTAAGTCATCAAGCTTTATTGGCAATAAAAGAGCAATACTCTTTCCACTTTTTAGTTATGCTCGCATGTTTGCATGTCTGCAATCGTTGGCGGCTTAACAGTCACGAAAGTCGCTAGAAAATCATATAATCAGGGAAGTCGTACAAACGGCGCACACATGCCACTTTCATTGTGTGAGTACGGACAAGCTATAACCGACTATGCTAACAGTAAAAGTGGCATATTTGTAAAAAAAAAAAAATGAGAAATTGAACAACTATATGTATGTATGTGTGTGTGTGTGTGTGTGTGTGTGTGGCAACCTTAATTTATGCTCATCGCTTGACCAACTTTAATGTCTTCATTAATTTATTGCCCGTGGAAGTGCTGAAAAAGCAAATTTACATTTCTTTGAATTTTCTTAGAAGCGTAAATAAAGCAGCGTTGGCAAAATTTGCTTGGCAAGAATATTGTTTTTCACTGAAATTAAGCTAAGTATATTCGGAGTGTGCTAGATTAACTATTCTGCTTGCTGCTGCTAATTTATTATTATAATGAGTGGCATGAATGGCTAGACAAAGAGACTTGAGCAGCTAATAAAATATTTGTATATATATGTATATGTATATATGAAGTGTGTGTGTGGCCTCTGCATGAAAAATCAGAATTATTCAAGATGAAGTGCAATAATGCATAAATTACGCGCTCACTCCATTCGGGCAGCACAAACAGCAAATTCATATAATTAATCAATGTGGATGAATGAGTATGTGTGTGTGCGTGTATGCCATTAAATATGTCAGAAATCCATGAGCGCACATTCGCACACAGACTATGGTGCTACGGTACACGCATACATGCACACACGCATACTCACATGCACACAATGTGACTAACTAATTGCTCAATCAGTGTTGTAATGCATTTCTCTGTTCGTGACACGACACCGTGCTCGCTGATGAGTGAAAGAAAGGTTGAAATGTGAGCAGGCGAACAAGCCAATGAATGGCCAAGTTAAATGGTTAGGTATATATGTGGTACTTGTATATATATATGCATATATCCAAGATATTAGGGTCATGTTGTCTTTGTAGAAAAAATATTGAGAATAATATAACGTAAAATAATGTATTTTTATCTCAAATATTATTTTAATTCACTCATAAAGAGCGAAATCACTACATTCATTAATTTTCAAAAAAAAAAAAAAAAAAAAAAAAAAAAAAAAAAAAAAAAAAAAAAAAAAAAAAAAAAAAAAAAAAAAAAAAAAAAACAACGATTTATATAAACGATAAAAAAGTGCACCCCTAATACACATATTCCACTTCATATATGTATAATAGCACCATAGCGTAAGGTCGTGGCATTCATTTGCTCATTTGGCGCAAGCATTGTGTTGTATATGCTTGCTTATGTTGTTGTTGTTGGTCGTTCTTTGCTGACAATATATGCCAGCTTGTGGGTTCAAACGCCATAAAATATGCAATAACATGTCGAACATTATTGATTGCATCACGTGAAAATGTGTACTTTGCTTTTACTGTTATATTCTCTTAATAATGTTGGCTTGCCAGCGAAAAATAAAGTGTACCCTATTTTCAGTTAGGAAGCACAAAAAAAAAAAAAATAAAATAAAAATTGTAATAATTGTGAATGTCTCGTGCATTATAAAAATTAATGGCACTGCCATGGCACAAATGAGGGTATTTATGGACCGGTTCATTGAAAACATTTAATCAGCAGAATCGGAAAGTCTTATTGCCAGTTTGCTACAAGTGAGATCTGATAATTTCATTATTATATAATGATGTGTGCAACCTGCCTAAAGTGGGCTATATAGATACCTTTGTTAATGACAACAATTGAGAAAAAATTATTTGCGAACTTCTGAAATAAATTGAGTTGTTTTTGTTTATGCGTCGAATTTACATATATTAAGAAATATTCTTTGACGATTTGAAGCTGATCCAGCATACAGTTGGAAACAATTATTTACGTATGTGAAATCGGCTCGAAACACTGTTTTCAGGTTTTCGTTAGGAAAAAATCATAAATCGCCTTTAAATTTGCACATGACCTTCTTTGATATATACAATGATCGAAATATATATATTTTTGATAATACTTTAGTTTTTTGGCTAATACTTCGATCATAACGTGTATTAAATATAACTAATATTAATAACAAATTTTATTGGTTTTCGAATTTGAATAATTTTAAGCAGAAAAATCA